CTAAAAGATTATTTTCCTTTTCTCTCTCTCACTTTCTCTCTTTTGAACACTAGCAAGTAACACAGAAATTGTTCAGAAGACTCATGCAATCAGTTTGATGAACAAATATATTAGAATGCAAGGAAAGAGAGCTGTCTGGGAGGAATACCAAGTAGCCCTCAACTACAAATATTGTTAGCTTTGCTGCCCCCTTAAAAGCCTTCATAATATATTAGAAATGAATGAGCCCAAAATTAATGTCTTCTCTAGGCTTTTGCCATTCCCATCATCTGGTTAGTTATGTCAACTAATAAAAATTGAAAAATAGACAGTGATAATGGGTCAGCTTCAAGTGACTCAGCATGTATCTTTTAAGGATAAATTAAGACAATGAAATTCATTAGGTCATTATAAAGGAAGACCTCGTATTATAAATACTGTGGTTATTTAAATTCTAGTGCATATGCAAGCAGTGCTTACTTAGACTTGATTAATTTACTATCGCTCCACTAATTAAACTGACCATACTGGTGTCACATATGCAACCTACCTGGAAAATAATTACATTATTCATGTTTTCTTATTTAAATATTCACAATTGAAAATTTATATATATTCTGAAGCTCTTCAGAATTTCACTTTGCAGTCAAGTTGCTTAATGATAAAACAAGCGATTTCAAATGACTTTTAAAACATTAGATTGCATTTTATAAGCTGGAACTTGAAATAGGTCCATTTCCTTAAAAAATGTTATTTATGATGGCAATTTCTGCACTTTAGTGAGAACATAGTGTTTCAATTTCTTACAAATTGCTAGTTTGCCTACCAATTCTGTCCTGCCAGCAATCATTTATTGGTGTGTATTATTGTAATTATTCCTTGAATATGTAATAGTACCATGCAACACTCAAAAGAAGTAATATAAAAAAGCTAGTAACAATATTTCTTGTTTCAACTTAAAATTCAGATTTGATGTCTGACTTACTTTTTTTCTAGAAAAGCAAGAAATGATACTATATCAACATTTTAAAGTCTATCTACCAATCTATCTATAAAGAGAGAAAATATAATCTAATCTTTCTTTGAGACTCATGATACTGTTTACATTTTTAAAAGATTTATTTATTTATTTGAAAGAGCTACGGAGAGAGAGAGGGAGAAACATTGAGAGTGAGATCTTCCATCCACAGGGTCACTCCTCACATAGCTATAATGACCAGGGCTGAGTCAGGCTCAAGCCAAGAGCCAGGATCTTCTTTCAGGTTTCCTATGTGGGTAGCAGGTGCCCAAGCACTGGGGCCATTTTCCCCTCCTATCCCCAGGGCATTAGCTGGGAGCTGGATTGGAAGTGGAGCAACCTAGTCTTAAACTGGTGCCCACATGGGATACTGGCATTGCAGGTGGCGGCTTTGCCTGCTATGCCACAATGCCAGGCCCAACTTTAAATCCCAATTATTATTGTTTTGGGACTAAAGGTAAACCTGAACAAGAAACTAAGAGTTTCATTATTTCCAGGCCATACTTAAGGAGTTTCTCTCTTTCTCTTATAAATATTTGATGACTTAATTTTCACTGCCCTTTTTTCCTTAAGTCAGAGTACAGAAAAAAATATGATAAAAAGGAAATCTGAATGAAAGGGCTATATTTTAAAGCTGTAATATGATTAGTAAAGACTGCCCACAATTGAAATTCCCTGAATATTGAAGGAATGGACTCCAATAGCAGAAAACTATTAATAAGCAGAAATAGCAGAAAACTGCTTTTAATTTTTATCCAACTAAGTTAGTGGCAATTTTCAGTCAAAATTTAAAATCATGTATAGCTTTTGTTTCTCTGACTTAGTCTTTTACATAGTTACATTTTGGTTTGGATGGAAACCTTCCTGTACCATTTCTATGGTACCCTAGAGTATCCTGCCACTGAAAGCCTTATCTTATCACAGCAATGGACAACTAACTACTTTCATTTTCTTGTGCTATTGAAAGCATGAAATGAAACTGTTTAGAAAGTTTTTTCTTTTGACAGGCAGAGTTAGAAGAATTTTGGAAGGAAATATAAATCAATAAATTAATAGCAACAAAAAATTCCCATGAAAATTTCATTTTACAAGGTACTGAAATGTTTAGCATACTGTGTGTGTATGTATGTATTTGTGTGTTCAGAGAAAAGATTGCAAAGACAGAGTTCAAAATATTGTCTTTGGAAATCGCAGTTGGAATTTTACAACTGCAACTAGAAGCTATGTAACCTTGGGCAAATTACTTAACCTCTATCTCATTTTCCTCAACTGGAAAACAGGGACATTAGTAATGACCACTTCAAAGGAGCAGTGTATGGGTTAATAAAAGTAAATTTAGGCCCAGTGATAGGGCATATGGTGGGGACTGAGTAACTGTGCTGTTTTTATTTAGGCATGCTATCACAGAAAAAAACTTCACTTTTCTCAACTGCAAAACTGTTACTCCAAGAATTGTCAGTAACACTCAGGACTTAAGAAATTGTCCCCAACTTTTTCATTCACTGCATGTTGAAGGAGAAAATATTTCATGACCAAAAGACCTAACTGTGCCACAAGAATTGCTTTCATTAATCACATACATTTTGAAACAGTAATCCAGCACATTTAGGATGACTGTAAGTCTATTAGTGGAAGTGGGTTGTGTGTTTTTCATGCTTTGTTAATAGGTTGGATCTTCCCCACTTCATGGGATAAGGACATAATCTCAGTGTTAGGGAACAAATTGTAATTGCTCAATCTAATTTTTTATCAACTCTAGAATTTTCAGAATAACATGAAAATTGAAGTTACTTTTAAAATAAACCTTAATGTAGCTGGAGTTAAAGGAAACACTGAATACAGTCACAAGAAAAAAGCAGACTGCAGAAATTGTGAATTAACAGTTACGGAGAGTTGGAAGAATTAGAGGAGAGGTGTCTCCTAACACAGATCTCTAGATGTATGTGATAAGATTTAAAAGCATTCAGCAGTGTCTTTCCTTGGAGAATCACTGGGTTTTTTGAAGATAGTTTTAATTTCTACAGAATACTCTTCACAAACTTCAGTGTGAGTAGAATTCATATTAGTTTTCTGACACTAGTAAAACACTGAGAGCTAAGAGTACCACTGTTACTACTCCCAAACTCCAGGAATTGACTTCACCATGTCACAGTGACTGAGTGTGCTATCGACCTGTTGCCATAAAACTGGTCATATGGCTTCAGTAAAGAACATGGAGACAGCTAGTACTTTTTCTGTGGTAAAATCACTCTTCATACACAAACACCAAAACAAAGGGCACTGTGCAGGGTGCCAGTAGGGAGCATCAGCTCTGGGATTAGACTATGTGATCTTCTAAATTATTTGATTTCTCCTAGACTTTAGTTTCTCAACTTTAAAATGGAAGTAATAATTGTATATGCCTCAAAGTGTTGTGAGAACTAAGTAAGATGATGTTCATAGAGTCTATACTAGTATTTGCACACAGTAAATCTATTCAATATTAACTATTATTACCATTACTTATAAATCAACAGCAAGGAGAAGACAGACTCTATCCCCTCTTCCTTGGGATTTGTATTTTCAATAAAACCCTAAAATATCATTAGAAATTAAAAGGTTAATAATTGGCAACTTACTTCTATCCCTTGCCCCAGGCTCACTTGGCTGTTTCATGAGCCTTGTGTTATGTGCCTCACATCTTAATTCAGTGGAGTTGTTGGATCACCACTTAGGCTGCTGTGGCAAAGTTCTACAATAAGACCAAAGTATAGGGTCATAGATACATGTATAGACCTCTTCAAAGGTATGAAATGTAAGGGTAATGAGATGGTTCCTAAAAACCTCTACTGCAATCTTTTTCTAACAACTAAGTGACTTCATATTAAAACTGATCTGCAATCTTTTAAAAAAGATAGTTTTATTTATTGCATCCTGTGGATTTAGAAATGCGAGGCAGGGAATGGCAGGGAAGCAGATATCAGTAACCATAATCATTTGACATTGGAAGATTTTCTCTTTAGTCAGTTTTGCTCTCATTTATCAACCAATAACATCATTAAATTATTTTTTTTCTGGTAGGCATAGTCTGTACTCAGTTAATCACTTTAAAACTTCTAACATAATCTCTGTTCATTAAATCAATGTTGGTCCTATTTAAATTACATGAAAAGCACTGTGTACCAACCCACTTTGTTACAAACCCACCCAGGGTGGACCACAAAGGTGAGACAGGTGAGCGGAAAGGGTGTGCCTGTGGGTGGTGGCTGGGAGTCAAGAGAGGCTGTAGGAGAGAAGGAGAGGGGGATTGCCATGTGAGAGGGGATCAATATTTCTAAAGGGAGGGTTGCAAAAGCCACATAACAAAAGCAAAAGTTGAAGGGAAGGGACATTGCATGCTAACCCAGCATGGTTTCACCAGTCTACCCACTCCTGGCACATGGAGAACCAATGACTTGTGAGTGAACCCTTGGTATTGTCTGCCCTCTTTAAATATAGATGACAATATGCCCCCTCAGAACCCATAATATCCCCTCCAAAAAGCCCACCCAACCTCTCCACCTTTCAAATGGGGCTCAGCCATTTCCCCTCCTTGGCACATGTTGTGGCCTCTAGGAGAAGCTGGGGAACTACAGGGCAAGCTTAGGGTGCACAGAGATGAGCATTCCAGCTGCTCTCCCTGCTAAAAGTCATGTTTTTTCTGGTTTCTGAAAAATCAGGCAACAAAGGTTTTTAGTTTTTTGATTGTTTGGCTGATCCAGTGATTTAAATACTCCTCTGCTTTGGGGGATAATTCAAAACAGCAAGTCTGGGATAGTTCAACTGCAGAACTTCCATTATGACCCTCCAGATTTGCAAACTGCCTAACCAGACCCTACGCATAAGAATCAAATCTCCTGGTATATGATAAGTATCTGTGTCACCTTGCTGAATGCTAAGTATGAATAATTTTTATTCCAATGGAATTGATTGTGCCTATTAGGGCTTATTTTGACTCACAGATTTTTGTTTTCCTTCTTGACAGGTTCCTGGGCAGATAGATCACCACTACATGAAGCAGCAAGTCAAGGTCGTCTGCTTGCTCTCAGAACACTATTATCACAGGTGAGATTACAAATGGCTTAAAATGGGTCCCCTCCACATGTGCATCAAACGTTGTCAAAAAATCAATTACAAGTAAGAAAACTGCTTACAATTTACTACTGTCTTTATCTTAACTCAGCCATTTAATGGTTTCCGATTTATCTTTGAAATTTCCTGTAAATACTTTAGTATAATTATAAGTCTTAGTGTTTTAAATTTCTCATGCATTCTATTTGTTCATTGATAGACTTACTTAAGTAAGTACTAATAGGATTGTGTATTATTTACTAGACATTCTAAATATGTTTAACTTTGTACAATGTGCACAGATTATTACATAATTTGTCCAGTCATAAAATACCTAAAATATAGTGATTAGACTGTAGTCTGAGATATCTTATGAGACCTTGTCTATGGAAGTGATGTAGGAATGGTTTCCTCACTTGCCTGCTCATCAGACTCACCAAAGGAAAAAACTAAAAGCATAGATCTTCACTGAAAGGGAAAGCACCCTGCCTTGGACCTAGATAGTCTTTTTTAAAGCTTACAGTTTGGTTCATATGTACACACAAGTGTTCTTCATAGTCATCATTCATGGCATCCAGTGTTTCCCAGTATGAAGGAGAAGGGAATGTTCTCAGATGAGTGTGAAGAAAGTTTGAACGACAGTGGTTGGGGCTAGGCGGACCTGGATCCCAGGCTGGTCCTGGATGTGAGCCATGGCCTGAGTCTCCGTGTTCTCAGCTGTGATGTGAAGATGTAGGATGGGATGCTCCTGTAGGGCTGCCCAATTCTGTGAGAACCATGTGACCATTTTGTTTTGCTTTTTACTCAATGGAGGGGTAAAAGGTCAGTAATTTCTAAAGGATCATCCCTTGGAAAGGTTCAGGCCGTTCTTTGAGAGGCATTTCTCAGTGTGTGTACATCTCACATCCAGGGATGAGTTGCCCAAGAAGAGGGAGCCGCTGCCCCCAAAGTCCGATAGGAAAGGGAGTCACTCCTTGTAGGAAACTCCTCTCTTGATTGTGTCATTTGGTCACTCTAGTGTGTGGCAGTTGGGATTAGCTCTCCAAACCTGACTTCTGGGCAACCAACTTGATACCTTTGAAAAGAGAATTAAAAGGTCTTAAAATTTTTCTACTTGTCAGTGACAAAGATTTAGAATAATTATTTTCTTTCCTCAGTGTAAAATCCTTCATGTTCAATGAAATAACAGATTATGGTAATCTGTAATATGTTGAGAAGAGGTAGTATGGATATTGCTCCTATTATAGTGTTCACTGTGATTATCAGTAGACCGTGAATTACCAAACAGAGCAAGAAGGCTAATAATATTTATTTAGTTTAGTCTGATATTGTTAATTTGATTAAAATATAATTTAAAGTATTTACTTAGCTTTTATTGAGTAACAATACAATAAAATCTAGCATTTTTATGTGCTGGACACTAGTAAAAAAATTATTTACAGGCATCATCTAATTTAAGGGTCATCCTAAAATTACAGGTTAGTATTTGTCAAAATTAAAACAGTGACCTCAGGATCTGCTCTGTGGAATAGTTAGCTAAGCCTCCACTTGTGGCACTGGCATCCCATATGGGCACCAGTCCATGTCCTGGCTACTCCTCTTCCACTCTGGCTCCCTGCTTGTGGTTTTGGAAAGCAGTGGAAGATGGCCCAAGTGCTTGGGCCCCTGCACCCAGGTGGGAGACCTGAAAGAAGCTCCTGGATTCAGATCTGTCCAGCTGTGGGCTTTGCAGCCATTTACAGGGAGTGAACCAGAGGATGGAAGAGCTTTCTCTCTGCTTCCCTATCTCTGTCTGTAACTCTACCTCTGAAATCAATAAATATTTTTTTTTTTTGACAGGCAGAGTGGACAGTGAGAGAGAGAGACAGACAGAGAGAAAGGTCTTCCTTTTGCCGTTGGTTCACCCTCCAATGGCCGCCGTGGCAGGAGCCAGGTACTTATCCTGGTCTCCCATGGGGTGCAGGGCCCAAGCACTTGGGCCATCCTCCACTGCACTCCCTGGCCACAGCAGAGAGCTGGCCTGGAAGAGGGGCAACCGGGACAGAATCCGGAGCCCTGACTGGGACTAGAACCCGGTGTGCCGGCGCTGCAAGGTGGAGGATTAGCCTAGTGAGCCGCGGCGCCGGCCTAAATAAAATCTTAAATAAAACAACAGTTACCTTGTGATGGAGTCAGGCATGGAGTCAGGCATACTCTAAATGACTCCATAATCAGAGATCTTAACCACTAAGTCTATAATTAAATCATAACATAATCATAACTATTTAGTGATAAAAGTTCAAAAAGCAGTTTATTATAGTTCAAAATATTTTTCCCACTCTTGGCTGAACTTTAGTTATATAGCCCCAAGCAAACCAAGTGATCCTGTGCACAATATTTAGTTCTACAAAATAAATAAATAAAATTTTAAAAATAAAAAAAAAACAAAAAAATTAAAAAAGCAAAATTTTCCAGAAACACACCAAAATCCATTGAGCAAAATACTGAAGGGCACAATGCTCCTGCAATAATTACGTTAAATAATTTGGACAACTCACAGACTCTAAGGCATTTGAACTGACCATTACTGCCATGCTTTTGTTAGAGATTCTTTGATCTTCAAAATATATCACTCTGTAATGATTTTTTTTTGTTGTTTTCTGGATTTTTTCTCTCTTTTTTTAAATATTTTATTTATTTAATTGACAGACAGAGTTATAGACAGTGGTGAGAGAGAGACAGAGAGAAAGGTCTTCCTTCCGTTAGTTCACTCCCCAAATGGCTGGTACTGCCAGAACTGTGCTGATCCGAAACCAGGAGCCAGGTACTTCCTCCTGGTCTCCCATGCGAGTGCAGGGCCCAAGGACCTGGGCCATCCTCCACTGCACTCCCGGGGCCACAGCAGAGGGCTGGACTGGAAGAGGAGCAACCGGTACTAGAACTGGCGCCCATACGGGATGCCACCGCCACAGTTGGAGGATTACCAAGTGAGCCCCTGGATTTTTTTCTTTTTTAAAGCATAAAAAACTTTATGAATAACAGATGTATATATTGTGGCACACAGTGTGACATTTCAATACATGTATATGATGTATGCTAATCAAATCAGGATATTTAACGTTAATTACCCAATGAAATTTATAGAGATGATTGTAATTTGTGGCTTATTTATGTCATATATAGGGCTATAATGTAAACGCAGTAACCATAGACCATATCACTCCATTGCATGAAGCCTGCCTTGGTGATCATGTGGCATGTGCCAGAACACTTCTGGAAGCTGGAGCTAATGTAAGTATCTTTTAGAAACATGAATAATTTCATACCTACTGACTGAGAAAATCAAGAAAGGTCTCATTTTTATTTTCTTTCCTTCTTTCTTAATAGTTTTCAATAACAGCCAAATAGAGGTATAGCTCTAAAGTCGCTGCAGATTTCCCCTTGCACTCTAAAGAGGATTTCCAATCATTTCATAAATGGGCAGCTTGCTGCATAATAATATATAAAATTTTAAGATAATTTCCTGCTTCATGACTATAAATAGCAATAGTTGGATGTCTTTATGCTTTTGTCCATCCTTTAGATGATTTTTCTTAGATTAATTCTCAGAATGGAATTACCAATTTAACCACTTTATAAAACCAGCTGGGGCAGGTATTGTGGTGCAGCTGGTTAAGCTACTGCTTGGGACAACAAAACCCCATATCACATTGAGTCCCAGGTACTCTGCTTCCAATCCAGCTCCATGCTAATGTGCCTGGGAAGCAGCAGATGATGTCTCAAGTATTTGAGTTCCTGCCACCCATTGGGAAACCTATATGGAATTACTGGTTCCTGGTCTTGGTCTGCTCCAGCCCCAGCATTGTGGTCATTTGGGGAGTGAACCAACTGAAGGAAGATCTCTCTTTCTCTCTCTCTCTATTGTTCTCTCCCTTACCCCTCGGTGCCACTCAGCCTTTCCAAATACATAAATATATAAATATTTTTAAAAATACATAAATATATGACTCATTTTTAAAAACAGAACAAAGTGGCTTCATTCTCATATCTCCATTATAGTTTGTCTGCTTGCATTATATTTCTTACTAAGAAGTATCTGCTCATTGACACTTAAGCAGATATTTTGTTATGATTTTCATTTACTATATATTCATTCCTGTGATTATCTGCCACATCCTATTTCTATTTACCTCTTGAAGTTGTCAAGCTTTTGTCTTTGCTGTGTATGAATTAATTATACTTTGTCATATTTACTGTACACATTTTCTCATTTCTATCAATAGATCACATAACTTTCGAAAAAATGTGTAACTTAACTTACTCATGTATGATTTATGGATCTTACTAGATTTTGGGTTTGGTTTAGGTAAACGCAATCACAATAGATGGTGTGACTCCTTTATTCAATGCATGCTCACAAGGCAGCACAAGCTGTACAGAACTTCTTTTGGAATATGGTGCCAAAGCCCAGCTCGAGTCATGTCTTCCATCTCCCACACATGAGGCTGCCAGTAAAGGTAACTTAGTTATGAGATTAAATGACTAGAGGAGAAAGTTCCTTTAGCAGCTTGTAGTGCTCCACTTATTTTTCAATGAATAATATCCCAAGAGGGGCTGCATGGGCTGAGGGGTATGTATGGGGGGTGGGCATTAAGTCAACATAAACTCATGTCTATTTTGCATTGGCAGGTCACCACGAATGTCTCGACTTATTAATATCCTGGGGCATAGATGTTGACCAAGACATTCCTCATTTGGGAACTCCTCTCTATGTAGCTTGTATGTCACAGCAATTCCATTGCATCTGGAAGCTTCTTTATGCCGGTATTTGTATTGACAAAATCTGTTTTCTTCATACATACAATGAATTATTTCTATAAATAAGCTTCTCTAACAATAGATCTCATTGCTCAAATTGTGCTTTTTTGTAAAAATTCTCACATGTATATAGCCAACAAAAAAGAACCTCTTTCCTGATAAGTCTGCTTCAAAGCTTGTAGATAAATACATTCATAAACATATTTTGTATAAACAGCAGTAGCAGATTTTGGATATGTATAATGGACTCTTAAAGCTTACCTGTGCCTGTGAAAGGTTATGAAATTAAGATTCTCAAATTTTAATATATATATATTTGGCAGAATTATGTATAAATATATATACCTGTGACTAAATCCATCAAAAGCAATTTTAGAGATAGTAACTGCTTGGAAAACCTTATTTTATACCAACCATAAAGCCTTATGTTCTACCAACCATACATTCTCAGACTTTAGTGCCTGTTCTGCTTGCTTGAAAAAACTCAGTGCCCTCACCTGAAACAAATAGGTCCTTCAGGGTTCAACTTTAGCCCCCAAAGAAGTGTTCCTAAGCTATTGAGACCATAGTGACCTCTCTCCTGCCATAGGACTGGGAATTCCTATAGGACCTGTATTATGTATTTTTTGTTGTTGTTGTTGACACAGGCAGAGTGGATAGTGAGAGAGAGAGAGACAGAGAGAAAGGTCTTCCTTTGCCGTTGGTTCACCCTCCAATGGCCGCCGCGGCCGGCGCGCTGCCGATCTGAAGCCAGGAGCCAGGTGCTTCCTCCTGGTCTCCCATGGGGTGCAGGGCCCAAGCACTTGGGCCATCCTTCACTGCCTTCCCGGGCCACAGCAGAGAGCTGGCCTGGAAGAGGGGCAACCGGGACAGAATCTGGCGCCCCGACCGGGACTAGAACCTGGTGTGCTGGCGCCACTAGGTGGAGGATTAGCCTACTGAGCCACGGTGCCGGCCACGGACCTGTATTATGTATTTTTATTCCATCATCTCTTTTTTAAAAAACATTATGGCTCCCTCTCATGTGGTAAATGCTTAGAAGATATTTATATAATGAGTTAATGGACTTCTATGATATTTATTACTCTTGACAGTTATTTGATCTCTGCTATATAAGACATATTTTTAGTAAACCCTGTATGTGTTTCATTTTCTTAGCTTCTTTTTTTGTTTGTTTATTTTTTTGCCAGGCAGAGTTAGACAGTGAGAGAGAAAGACAGAGAGAGAGAGTTATAGACAGTGAGAGAGAGACACAGAGAAAGGTCTTCCTTCCATTGGTTCAGCAGCAAGGTGCTTTCTCCTGGTCTCCCATGCGGGTTCAGGAACCTAAGTACTTGGGCCATCCTCTGCTGCCCTCCCAGGCCACAGCAGAGAGCTGGACTGGAAGAGGAGCAACTGGGACTAGTGCCTGGTGCCCCAACCAGGACTAGAACCCGGGGTGCCAGCGCCACAGGTGGAGGATTAGCCTAGTGAGCCATGGCGCCGGCCTTCTTAGCTTCTTACAAGCAGGATTTGCATCTACTATTTAATTCTCATTATACCAGTAAGAGTCATATATGCGAGTTCTGTTAATAATCATTGACAGATTATTTCCTGCCCATGTTCACCAAGAAATTTAATATAACCAATAGAGTTTATGTTTTATCATCTTTTTTTATTTTGTTAGAATATTATTCTTTCCACCAAATGTGTTTTAAAAAGTATTGAAAAGGTGAAGATGGTAGCTGTTGACTAATTACTATTTTGAGGCTCTGTTCTCCCATAAAATTGATAAAACCCATAAAATTTATGCTTCTTTGTGGAAATATTTTGCTGCGGAATATATTTTTTCACTAAATATTTTGTATTTGTTTTATAAATATTGAAAATGATTACATTTACTCAAATTTGAAAGTAGCAGGAGGGCCATAAAAATATTTTGAAAATGTCCTGCTTCTTGCAGGCAACATTATTTCTACTAATTTTATAGCAAAGTTAAAAAGACTTGTGCATTTTTATCACTAGACATTTCTTTGTGTTGTAACTATTCATGTACTGGAAGATGGGACTTTTTTTTTTACAGCATAAAACAGTATTTATTAATTGCACATGTATTGTTTGACCACCATGTGCCAGGGCTTGCACTAAGATAAAATAGCTATAGAGTAGGAAATTTCACATGTAGGATTTTGTTTTTCAATGTTAGTATCTTAAAATTTTTACTTTGCATGCAGGTATCATTAATATGCTTTTCCAGTTAAAAGATTCAGTGTCTTTATGTGTTTATTGTCTTACATGTATAAGTGAGAAGTGGAAGAAAATATAAATACTTATACTTTTTACATAAATTACTCACATAACTTGATTAATGAGTTTTCCAAGACACCAAAGAGGTCTATTTTCCTAAAATAAATGAAGGTACAAAAGCAATAAGCTCTTGATTTTTCCTAAGAGCTATCAACCATGTTAAAACAGACATGAGAAACTTAACCCTGTACAGTTTATAATAAAGGATATGGTTACTTTGGAATTATTAAAAATTTAAGATTCTTTTTTATTGTGAGATCTTTCAAACATAATAATACCATAAGTATTAGAGAACAACATAACAAATATGCCAATGCATATCTATATATACTATAATTTAAGATTTTAAATATATACATATATATGTAAATGTGGCATATATGAAAATTAAGTATGTATTTTTCCAGTACATAAAAGTTGCAACATTGAGAAATGTACAGCAAAAATGTGTAAGACCTTTTTAACTTAGTTTTTTGAACTTTTTGCAAAAATTATGTCCATAAAAGCAGACATAAAAGAAATAACTAATTATATAGATAGAATTGAATGCCCCTTTAGACCCTCCCTCCATTGCCTTCCATTTTCTGCCCTTGCTGTTGTAATTGACTTCACCTGATTATTTTTTATTTGTATTTATCATCACTCCCTGTTTAAATGCAGGTGCTGATGTACAGAAAGGCAAATATTGGGATACTCCATTACATGCTGCTGCTCAACAATCCAGTACAGAAATTGTAAACTTACTGATAGAATTTGGAGCAGATATCAATGCCAAAAATACAGAGCTTCTGCGACCTGTAGATGTAGCTACAACTAGCAGCATGGTAGAAAGAATATTGCTTCAACATGAAGGTATGAAGTATGCATGTGGAAATGGATAGATACAAAAATATATTTGTCTGAAATAGATGAAACTGAAAGACATAAGAAATAATGGAATAAATGTGGAATTTTCTTGTGAATGTAGGAACATTTTTAACTTAAATCCTATCTATAAAAGAGAGATAATGGTGATTTTTAATTTTCTTCTTTCATTGTATACAAATGTTCACATTCCTGTGGTTAAATGTGTTTCATTCATTCTAGCAAGGCATAATATACAGTTCTGATATAATATTTGTTAATGTGTCTTTGAGAATATATCCCATTTTAACAGCATGTACTTTTGTAAGGTGTTATAGAAATGTAATCAGTAAATATTTTCAAACATTAAAATTTCTGTTCTAAAACCCTAAGCCTAATTTAGAGACTACGATAAACCCCCTTTATCTTAGCTATTAAACCCTATTTGGGAAAAATATATAATTTTAAATTTTCTCCTTTTATTATATAACACTTTTTAGGGATGTTGATTTATCTCTCCTTCAAAAAGCAGAATTTTTTGAGGCCTTATATGCAAGAATAACTTCATAAGCCTGAAAATTGTTTTTAAATATTATAAATGGAATATATTTCATTTATAATAACATATCATAAATAAAAGCACTATAATTCTATATAAATGTTTTTATTATGGCGATCATACTATCCTATTAATGTCATAATTTTTATGGCCTTGTTTCATGTATCATACAACACATAAAAATTCAGGTGCAGGCGTTAGATGCGGTGGTTAAAATGCTGCATAGGAAGTCTGCATCTAATATCAGAGTGTCTGATTTGAGTGAAGGCTTCTCCATGTCTGATTTTGTAGCTATCAAGTGACAGCTCAAGTATTTGGGTTCTTTTCACTCAATTGGAAGATCCTATTTCCAGGCTCTTGGCTTTGACTTGGCCTTACCCTGGTGGCTATGGCCATTTGGGGAATGAATTAGTGCATAGAATATCTCTGTCTACATCTCTTTCAAGTAAAAATGAAATTAACTAAATTAAATAATCTAGAAATTAAAAAAAAATTTTCATGTCTCCTTGTAGCTACACCAAGCTCTCTTTGCCAGCTTTGCCGACTCTGTATCCGAAACTACATAGGGAGACCAAGACTGCATCTCATCCCACAGCTCCAGCTGCCAACACTACTGCAGAATTTCCTACAATATCGATAAAGCAGTAAAATAATTCTAAATAATCTGAAAATCAAAAGTTTCTACTTTATTCTCATTATGAATACTTACTATAAAATTATACTAAAGATAGGGTTAAAGTGAGTATGAGATCACCCAGGGAATCAGTGAAATATCAATTTTCATCTTAAGTGTACTAGTTAGTACTATTATTTTATGCATTTTTACTGTCTTTGGGTTATAATATATTTATTATATCTATGTTATCAGCTATCCCAATATATGCTTTTGTTGATTTAAGGAAAAGTTGATTTAGGGAAACATGAGAAGTTCTCCATTGTATGTTTAATCAGAATGGAAAAAATATGAACTCTTAATAAAATTATAAATTTCATTTTGTATTTTAAAAGGACTATATTTGTCAAATTTTTAATATTGGTTATGTTAATTCATTACCTTGTATAGACACAGCATATAAGTATGGTTTAGGTAAAGAAAAATGAATATGCTTTTTGAAATAAAGATGACTTTTATTCAAGAAATTCACTTTTTTGAATGTGTACTTGTCATTATATTATCAATTCATACAGAAAAGATAAATTGTCCTAACCATGCAAAAAACTCACATGTCACTTCTCCACAAGAAATGGACCTGTTGTAGATACCACTGGATTATAAACCAATACTATCTTATCTCCCTGAGATATTTGAGATATTATATGCCTGCTGAGGTTATTTGAAGACCCCTTCCTCAAGCATAGTTTCTTAAAGATTCTCTTCAGTGCTTTTATATATCATTCAAGGTCTTTTCCATTTCAGAAAGTATCAACTGCTGTGATAGCTGCACTGAAGAAATTGAACTTCATATCTAATCAATAAAAAAATCCCTGGGTCATATTCCAAGAATCATCAGATGAGTACAAGGTGGTAGACACTGGCAGACAAAAAGGAAAAAAAAAAAAGGGACAAGGAGAAAAAAAATAAAAACTGGGGCAGGGCATTTGACCTGGTAGTTAAGATGCCTGAATCCCACATCTTGTACCTTGGGTTTAATTCTGGGCTTTAGCACCTATCTCAGTTTTCCACCAATACACACCTTGGACAACAACAGTGATGGCTTAAGTAACTGGATTCCTGCCACTTATGTGGGAGACAGATTGAATTCTTGGCTCTCAGCTTCAGCTATAGATCAACTTTGGCCATTGTGGGGATTTGGGGAGTAACCCTGAGGATGGGTCTCTCTCCAACTGTCTCTTTGCTTCTGAAGTACCTGAATAACAAATTTAAAAACAGGTCCTTATATCCTGGGATTTTTAATGAAAGTAAAAAGGAATGCACACTTAAAGACCTTAAAATTACTCTCTCTCTCTCTCTCTATATATATATACACACATACATCTATACATTAATATTGTTGTTTCTAATTCTTTTTACACAAAGCAAGGATTCAGAGTATACTGTATTTGAAAGTAAAAGCAAAACACAATGTTGTATAAAAAGTTATTACTAAATATTCTTCATCTTTAAATACACTTGAATAATATAAAACATTTTGCTTTCTTTGTTATTCAGATTAGATTTGTGTCTATTTGTGTATTTAGAAATATAATTGAAATACTTACAGCTTTGAAGTTGGCAGTTCTCAAAAGAAGAAATACAAATGTCCAATCAATATACAAAAAAAAAGCTCAACATCACTAGCCATCAGGGAAATGCAAATCAAAACCACAATAAGATATCACCTCACCCCTGTCAGTTGGCTGTTATCCAAAAGACAAATGCTGGCAAGACTGTGTAGAAAGGGGAACACTTATACACTGTTGGTTGGAATGTAAATTAGTGCAGTGCTGTGGAAAACAATAAGGAGATTTCTTTAAAAAACTAGACATAGACTTGTCTTATATTCCAGCAGTTCCACTACTGGGTATCTAACCAAAAGACATGAACATCTTGTATCAAAGTGATACCTTCACCACCATGTTTATAGTGGCACTGTTTAGAATAACCAAAGTTTGAACTCAACCAAAGTGTCCTTTATCAGATAACGGATAAAGAAAATGTGATGCACACTCATTGGAATATTATTCAGTTACAAAAGAGAATGAAATTCTACCATTCACATCAAAATGGTTGCAACTGGAGGACCTCATATTGAATGAAATAAGCTGAACACAGAAAAACAAATAGCTGAGAGCTGAGTAGTAAATGTGAACTCTTCTGCCCTTCAGATAGCATCCCACCCTCTCTAATCATTAGAGAGGTTAGTGGGTCTCTAGGACTTGAAACAAAAAAAATAGCTAAAATACAAAATCAAAATAAAAAGATAAATGGAAGCTTCCATATTCCCTCATAAAAGAACATCTTGCTTGGTTGCACCTATGTTAGTAACTGGTCCGAAGTCAGCAAGAGATTATCACAGAGATCAAAAGCTTCTTGATCTCTATCACTCATCACTACTTCTCTTCAGATCAGGATCAAAATAGTGCCAAAGGACAGAGTGGTGGGTAAGTGGTTATTTTAAACATGTCCAAAATATCCATAGTGAAGATGGGGGAAAAACAGGGGCAAAAATATTTAGTAATATATTATTGAAATCTTTGCAGTAGGAAGGTAACTGATTTTGTTTTCTTCTATGCTAATCTCGTGTGGACTTTTCTAGAAAAGTAAATCCATAAATATCTCAAAAAGCTCAGAAGGAAGCTATCCTCCTATTGATTGAGTATTCTAGTTAAGGATCCATTTCCCTGCTTAACTGGCTCTGGCATTGAGGTCCCTGTATATGTTATATAAAATAATTTACAGTAAGTAATAAAGTGCTTGAAAGTGAAAAACAATTTTATTAAGTCCAAGCAGTCAACATTTGATGGGAATTGGAAACCCTGATGTGAATTGCGTACCCTTGCAGGGGTGCTAAGCACCAGCGCCTAGACAATGGTGATTCAGTAGCTCTAGAAATTACAGAAGTAAAATCTTGAATGTTGTTAAGGATGGAATGCCTGTCTTGTGAGGCCAATAATATATTTTTTAAAATTCAATATATCAGGATTTTTGCTTTTGAAATTCTCTCAGAATAATTATCAAAGAGAATTTTTCATAATGGAAGAGGTACACTATAAGAAACATAAATAGCCTAAACAGATGGAAGAAAATCTCCAGTGGAATTGCTATTCTAAGTGCATTCATTCACTCTGTACCACACAAGCAAAGCTGTTCAGTTCCTAGAAATATGAGATATTAGTATTACAGTGCCAGAACACTAGAGTAGCATGCTAATGAACCACCAACCAATGAGGATTTTCCAAAGACTTAAGTAGAAAAAGGATAGCATTCCTGGTGGCCTATGACCTGAAATCTACCAGAGGAGAATTAGGAAAGAGATCCCTTCTTGATGCAGTACAGAAGTAATCTGTTACGATATTCAACAACAGGGCAGGTCCTATCACAGGCCTCACCATGGGTCCTGCAAAATTATCTCACATGAGGAATGTAGGAAAGGGTATAGTGTGAGGAACTAGCACCAAGGGTAAATTGCATGGCAAGTTGGCATCACTTTTTTTTTTTTTTTTTTTGACAGGCAGAGTTAGACAGTGAGAGAGAGACAGAGAGAAAGGTCTTCCTTTGCCATTGGTTCACCTTCCAATGGCCGCTGCGGATGGCCCACCATGCTGATCTGAAGCCAGGAGCCAGGTGCTTCTCCTGGTCTCCCATGTGGGTGCAGGGCCCAAGGACTTGGGCCATCCTCCACTGCACTTCCGGGCCATAGCAGAGAGCTGGACTGGAAGAGGAGCGACCGGGACAGAATCTGGTGCCCCGACCGGGACTAGAACCCGGGGTGCCAGTGCCACAGCTGGAGGATTAGCCTATTGAGCCGCAGTGCCAGCTGGCTTCACACTTTCTTTATCATGATGTGAGCATTCTGAATTAGACCAAATGAATAAAAATGTGCAGAAGACAAAGTTTGGCAATATTCTCTCTCTTACTCACACACATAATAGAATTCACGTTCTATACCAAGCTTTTTTTTTTTATACTTTCTATTCATTTTTTTTACCTTTTTTTAAAGAGTTATTTGTTTATGTGAAAGGCAGAGTTACAGAAAGAGAGAGGGCAAGACAAAAATAAAGGTCTTCATCTGTCGGTTCACTTCCCAGCTGGCCCCAGTGGCCAGTGCTGTGTCTGGCTGAAGCCAGGAGCCAGGAGCTTCTTTCAGATCTCCCACATGGGTGGTAGGGGTCCAAACACTTGGGCCATCTTCCACTGCTTTTTCCTAATTAGCAGGGAGCTGTGTAGAAAATGGAGCAGCCAGGACACGAGCTGGTGCCCATATGGGATGCTGGTATTGCAGGTGGTGGCTTTACCAGCTACACCTCAACACTGGCCCCAAGTTCTTAAGTCTTTAATGAGTGAACTTGTATTCAGAATCATAAATTTCTCTTCCCCCTGCTTTGGCAGTGTCCTATAAATTTTGACATGCACTGCTCTTGCTGCCACTCAATTCTAAGTATTCCAAATTTTTTCTTATGATTTTATCTTTTCTAGATTTAGTTTAAAGATTTATTTATTTGCAAGTCAGAGTTACATAGAGAGAAAAGAGGGAGAGAAAGAAGGAGAGAGAGAGAGAGAGAGACTGAGAGAGAGACAGGTCTTCCATCCAATGGTTCACTCCCCAATTTGCCGCAACTGCCGGAGCTGTGCCAATCCAAAGCCAGGAGCCAGGAGCTTCTTCCAGGTCTCCCACGTGAGTACAGGGGCCCAAGGACTTGGGCCATCTTCTCCGGCTTTCCCAGGCCATAGCAGAGAGCTGGATAAGAAGTGGAGCAACCAGGTCTCAAACCAGCGCCCATATGGGATGCCGGCACTTCAGGCCAGGGTGTTAACCCACTGCGCCACAGTGCCGGCCCCATCTTTTTTATAGTTTTTAAATTAATATAAGAACAGATTTCATGTATTTCATAGATGCAATTCTAGGAAGATAACCAGATTTCCCTCCTTCCCTTTCCCCCAAACCCTGACCTCCTTCATTTCTTTTCTTTTTATTCCTTTCATTTTTGCAATAACATATTTCCAGTTTACTTTACAGCCATAGGCTTAAAGCACCTCTAAGCTTTTTAAAAAGTATGGGTTCCATGGGGTGGAGGGACACTGTGGGAAATGAAGGAAACTGTGATTCCATCTCTTTGCACTCAAGCAGGATTGTTACAGGGGATTATTTCCTCAGCAGTTCCATCTATGGCAAGGATGTAATCTTATAGTTGACCCTTCCTCAATACTATTCTCTCCTCCATTCTCATTAGCAGGAGCAGCTTGACTATCATCGATTCTCTTTCCCCAAGGGTAGTGACTGGTTGCCCAGAATACTGTGACCTGCTCTCACTCCTGCTGTTTTCCTACCTGGACAAAGCCACTATAGCAGCCACCTGCTCTGTTCTTACGCACCTATGCTGGTTTTCCAACCACATTGCTCCCCACCTCACAACGGAAGGAACAACTGAAGGGGATCAGTTAACCTGGGAGGGACATTGAGTATGCAATCTCCTTCCTCTGAA